CTGCTTGGGAGACTTAAATTGGTCCCAAAGTCATTATACAACAACATCAGCGTTTACTTCAGTATGAAATTAATCTATAGCAGCCAGCAGGTTGGCGGGTATTAACACCCGCTGGTCCACTGTTTGGCCGGCAAGCGTCGGCGATGCCCTTTAATGATTACAACCGCCAACTGCGAGAAAGTTTTCCTGGTAACTGATCGTATCCGACAGGCAGATAAGCCCTGCAGGAAGTGGAGGGTTTTGCAGCTCCTGGAGATCAGAGATTTTCGCCAATGGCAAACTTAGAAAACCGCTTCCATCTGACAAGACCAGAACAGCTACATATAATGCATCTTTCGTTATATGCACAGCAAGTAAAACTGTGGGATTGTACTACGGTTTATTGGGTCTGCCTGGCGTCTGAATCCCGGCCCTGGCTCTGTGCATGTGGAGCTCACACGTATGCAGTTTCATCCAAAAAACATGCAGTTAGGCAAACGGGCATTTCTGAATTGCCCTGTGTGCCCTGTGGCGGACTGGCATCACATTCAGGGTGTGCCTGGTGCTTGCTGGGATTGCCTCCAGGCTCACACCATGAGTGGATCTGGATGAACATGGTATTGCACAAAATATGGTCAAAATAATTAAACTTCTGGTTTAAGAAATAAAATGACTGCAACCATGAAAAAGTATGGAGCTTCACAGTTCTTTGCTGGTCCTCTGCTATAGAAAAGGCTCCTTTAAGGGGTGGTGTTTACCAATCTGGCTACATTACTGGGCCAATCTAAAAGTTGTTGGTATTGCTGCTGTGGTTAGTGTCCCCAATATCTTTCAGTCATTAGTAGTTCAGCATGTGCATAACTAATTGATATACAACACACATCTACCTATTTTTATATAATCTGAATATTTTACAGTTCTTCACAGTATCCACCTCGAGAGGTTAAAAGTGCTCCGGGATTGATGGTCCTTCGGGGTGAGATTACATGGGCTGTAGCTGAATGCCAGCATGGGGGTGGAGCCAGGAAAACGGCCGATGCCTCGGAACACAGGAAATGTCAGGCAGGAGGACGCGGGAGAGACCCCTGGAGAAAATCGGCGGCACTCAAGCGTGCCACTGCACTGAGGCGCCTCACCCGGCCAGGGGGGTGGGCGGAGCTTACACGGAGTGTAACGCACTGGATGCAGTGATATGAACTGCAAAACTGGGCAGCATCCTGGAATTTAAACAATGACAACATCAGAAATTACATAATGAAAATAAGAGAGAAATACATCCTCCCATCCATCTTCTGTAACCATTTTTCCGGTACGGAGTGACTGTGACCATGAAGCCTATCCCAGAATGCACAGCTGAGGACACAATGGAAGGGATTCTGGTCCATCACAGGGCACGCATGCAAACACACACACAAGTTTGTATTCACATATTTCTGGGGGCTGACACATGCATACACAGGCACACACACACACACACATGCATAAACACACAAAGCATATACACACACAAGTTTGTATTCCTATCTTTCTGGGGACTGACACATATACACATGCATACACAGGCACACACACACGCATACTGTACACAGGCACACACACACACAAACAAACCATACACACACATACACATGCCTACACACACAATGCTTACACACACACACACAAGTTTGTATTCACATCTTTGTGGGGACTCTCCATTAAGTTCGATTAAGTTCGAGTTCCGAGGTACCACTGTATTTGAAAAAATAGACACATTTAAAAAGTAAGCACATTTCAGCTTTGTTTCAGTTACACATTCCCACAGTAAAGTGATCTATTCATTAAATGATTACAGTGACTATTTTCTTACATAAAATGACATTACTTTCCTTCTTGAAAATGGCGTAAGTCTCAGTTGCGACACAGTGCATTTAGACACCTTGAATATAGATTCTAAATGGTAACGGGCCGAGTTGAGTCATAGGTTATGTTTGCTTATGCATGCAGAATACATACAAAAAGCGGTATGATAAGATTTCCATTGTAGCCATTTCCGAGACAATCTTACCTGCAATTTGCATTAAAAATAACGGCAGAAGCACCGAAGGCTTTTTAGTACATGCCAACCAGGGACTCTGGCTGCTAAAGTAATATAAAAAAACCAACACTGTTTGCTCCAGGCACAATGACAGAAAGAACCACGCGACCTGGGGATGGGCGGGGGAAAGGGACATTATTTGGGGACGGTAGAGCAGATGACATCAGGAAAAAGTAACGCTGGGAGAACTAAGTATAATAGTGGTTAAGACCATAAAACTCTACCCTGAAAGTGTTGAGTTTACCTGAATTATCTCTTGCAAAATATACCCGTGAATGACACATAAATGGGAAAATCTGCCTAGCAGTTTTATAAAAAATAAAACAATGTAACACGTACGAGTTACTTATTGTTAATCTATTTTGATGCGGACCTCACTGACATTTAGAGCTAAAAAGATATACTAGGCTGTTTCTGTAGGATACATTACTGTTAATAGTTTGCGGACATTATATTTCTTGAATCCTGAGGGACACGTACAGAGTTGTGGGTATATATGTGCTGGAACCACGCTATACTGTTATTAGTATACAAGGATTTGCCTGATGACAGATGAAAACAGCCAATCAGTCACTTAATTAGGACAGATACATCAACCATATTGGGATCTCGTTTAGCTTTTATAATTTATGCTGGCATGTAGAGACACTTAAGCATTCCTTTCCTGCCATGTTATCTTGCCTGGAGTCACAGTTAATTCCTTCGGTGCATCGTGGCTAATTGCTGTGAATGAATGATTGGGCAGAGTGACCGGTGATTCAAAACATTACACCCCTCACGCGGGATCATTTTAATTCGCAGTGGCAGCAACAGGAACCTGCAGTGAATAACTAAACAAAATATCTTGCTATGCACATTTCACTAATCGCCGTGAACAGGGACACGTTTACGGAAATTACAAACGGAACCATCGTGGGAAAAACATTAAAAAGAAAAATGGGACTGTTATGTTAAGCATTTTCACAACCGATAAGCTGTAAATTCAGCAAGTAACTGTTTCTTAAAGGGCAACACAACATACTGAATTTCTTACAAACTGTTGCCGCCTAAAGTTCAATTAGAGTGAGCAAAGACAAACATTTAAGGCTGTGCGAGGTGTCTTAAGACATATGAGCCTCAGTTTATCCTGCCAGCTCTGGGCGTCGGTGTTTAGATAGACCTGGCACAACCCATAAGTGACATTCATCATTCCTGGCTGGCAGACAGATTTAATTGCGTCGCTGGAAATGCTACAATATGTGGGATAAAATATTTTATTCGGGATAAAAATATTTGTTTTCTGGGTCAATTTCAGTGTCCACGCGCATTCCACCAAAGCTCTTTTTAAAAAAATGGATCCTTCAAATGACATCGTGTGAGCATTTACGTGTCCTAATCTGAACTTCGACTAGTATCACGTGGATCTGGATGAGGTTTAGTGTTTACGGTGTATAATTGTTTTGAGTAATGATCCAACCATTCACCCATCCATCCATCCATCCATCCATCCATCCACCCATGCATCTGTTTTAGCTGTTAATACTCAGGTAGTGATCAGTCTGGAGCATAATCCAGGTACCAGAGGGCGCAAGGTAAGCTCCCCCAAACACAGAGTACATGCAAACAACACGCACAGCTGGGGATGGGAAAATGAATCCACTATACCACCATCCCACTCAATTTCATCTTCAAATGGATAATCATACATCTTACCACTTACATAAAACCTTCATGCTCTCGTTATCACAGGATGATTACTATATCTTCCTGGTGTAACCTAGCCTATAGCAAGTGCTTCATACCAGCATAGCCTCATGGTTAGAATTAACTGCTGTCTTACGACAAATAATAATTTGTGTGAACGACAAAAAAGTAAAAGGGTATGCTCGAAACTAAAATTTTATAGGCAATAGACTGGACTCCGATTACATGTTCTGTTCTCTGGTGGCTTTTGTGGTAGGACCGTAGGAGTGCATTTACAGGTGAACCTGCTTACCTCTGTCTCAGAGCTACTCAGAGCAATCAGCCCCCTCCATAGAAAATAACTATTTCTCTGCAGATACTGAACGCCAAACACGTCCCTTTAACGTCCTCAAAGTCCACGCCATACGACGGCTTTCTACGTGATTTTTAAGCGCTTGTGACCCCTAGAGGTTAACTGGGGCATTGCATAATGTTTCGTATCGACGGGAAAATACAGCTGTCAAGGAATTTTTATAAAGACAATATAGCTACACGTTTAAAAATACGTGATCACCAAATGAAGCAAATTTAATATTATTTGGAATCAAATGGAACAATTACTGAATATAGACGTAATCGAGCATCAGAATTCTGTTTTCGGATCCGTTTTAGAAATTGATGTAATTGTGATAGGCCTAATAAATGCCAAAACATATAGGCTGGAAGTGCGAAAATATTTGTAGAGAGAAGGAATAGGTGGACACAGGATAAGAAGGGTTGCCTAGATGGTTTGTTTTAGGGGAGGAGATTGTGATGCATAGAAAATGACGGACGGATTCAAGAATCAACTCTAAATGTTGTAAACCTTAACTATTCTTATCAGTTTGTCCATTTTAACAAAAACATGTGGGATAACATTGTGAAAAACGATCCACCCCAAGCCTTACTGGAAGAGGAACGGATGTTTTCATCTCATCTGTACTCATGTTTAATTATACAATTACCATATATGAGTAGATTTCATCAGCGAGCCCAGCAGGAAATAATAAACCGCACACTTACGCTTTCCTCAGTAGGAACTCTCTAGATTCTCTCCCCGTAATTAATAACCATATTTCTTTCTATTTATTGCTTTTTATTTTATACCAGTGCACAAAAATACAGTACAAATCGTTGGTGTAATATTTTAAAGGATTTGATGGGAAAACAAAACTCTATTCAACGTTTCAACGTGCATGAACGGCATAGATATATATAGATATAAAAACGCATTTTCCCCCGTTAACTTTGACTTATTTCGGCTACTGTACGGCGTAAGAATGCCTCGTCAGTCTTGAAAGAGATACTTTCACCCATTCATTAAAAACACTGGATTTTTCCCCACTTGAAAGTTTATTTATTTTAAATTATGTTACGTAACAGGACAGTCACTCAAGATAAAAGCAGTAGTGGTAAAGATGATAACAATAAGGTAGGTAGTTATTGCTGACTTGTTGTTTGTGTGTTCCTGCTGTGTCTGCCTGGTATTATCCAGCATGCTAACCACCTATATATAATATTCTACTTTTGCAGGTGGCTGGAAAGATAACAATTAACTACATTTAGCAATCACGATACTTTATTCGTACAGCGAAGTTAATTTCACAATGAGTTTACCTGGGATTACCTACTGTACAGTAATTGCTCTGTATTTTATTTGAATTTAAAGGCGGAAGAATCAAACGTAAGCGCAGGTCCTGCGACAAAAAAAGGATTCTGTGCCAAAGTTACAGACGTGGGAAAAGTTGTTCTTCTTATCATCTTCATTCCTCCTTTTTTGAATTATGCCTCTTTGCAGCGAGAGGGAGCGCTGCTTATTCCTGAAGGTAAATGTCACTGCGGGGTTTTATGTTCCCTTTTATTATCGACATTATGCGATATATCCTTGTTTTATATCCGTGCAGCTGGGTAACGATAAGTTGTCATCATTAAATTGAATCTCACATGAAAGTAGGTAAACTGAAAATAGCTTCACAGTTCCCCCTCTGCTGATTGAACGGATACTATACAAAACTAATCTCTCTCTTTAATGAAGTCACTGTTGACGACGTGGGATAGAACCCATGAAACTGCAAAGTGCTCGTGCATTTCATCAGAGGTTGCTATTTGCCTGATTCTTCTGCAGGGGCCCAATCAGTGGATATTGGATTAGGTCAGAAGGTCCACCTCTTGTGCAAAGGACAAGGGGAGCCAGTTGGTAAAGTATAGACTCCGTTTTATTTCACAGATGCGTAAAAACACCACTGGGAGCACTGACACTGCGGTAGACAAATTAATGTTATTCTGTTGCATTTTAAATGTCAGACAAGATGAAGACCAGAACCCCTTGGGGTTGATGGGTTATATACCTTAACAGATTTCACATCCTGAGTCAGCGTTAGATGTGTCGTTCGCTCTCGACTTGTTTCACGCCTGTGGTGTTTCTTCATAGTTCTGCTGGACGCTCCCACCGGAATGTCCTCGGAATCCTGGTTCTATATCCAAGAAGAAGTTTCACAGAAGACCAGGGTGAGCATGTGTTTTTTCTCACTTTTTTGATGTTCAGAGTGCCCAGATGGAGGTTAAACTCATGTGGTGCAAAGTGATGTGGCTTATTCATCATTTACAAGCTCCTACTGCATTCTGGGTACTGGGATTGAGGTGAGCAGGTGGAGCTGCTGTCTCTCACCTCCAGGGCTGCGGGCTTGGGTCCAGCCCCACCTGTGTGTGTGTGTGTGTGTGTGTGTGTGTGTGTGTGTGTGTGTGTTTGTCTCCTTGTTCTCCTTGAGCTCCAGAGTTAGGCAGTTCCGCTGAAGAGGCGACTATAAAAAAGCTTTTACCATCAGCCTGTGTGAATATGACCACATGCGACTTTCCTGGTTTCCTGTGACAGACTGATGCTTCATGTGACCTACTGTGACCTTGACTAGATAAGGAGCTGCTGACGGTCGACGTTCTCCGCAGGCCGCAGTGCTGACAGCAGGGCTGTGAATTTCCGTCTGCTCTTCATTAACATTCCTGCTGCCTTGTGGGCTGCTGCACGTGCCTTTAACCCCACAGCTTTTTAAATTTTATTTAAATATTGCTCTATCTGACCTATTCTGGCGACTGTGGGATGCATCTCTCAGGGTCTGCATCGCAGGGTCTGCATCGCAGGGTCTGCATCTCTCAGGGTCTGCATCTCTCAGGGTCTGCATCTCTCAGGGTCTGCATCCCGGATCAGCAGGCATCCATAGTTAGGGCTAATGATCAGGATAACGCCCTTTAATTATGAACTAGTTCTGGAATTCACGTGTGTCGCCCGAAGCCCCCCCCCCCCAGGACATTGCCACGTTTGCCGACCTGGATGTGGGGTTTGTCTGGGGCGGTGTTTGCTCAGTCTTTACCGCTTCCTGTAAAGGCTCAGGATGTCTGCCGGATTGTGTACTGAGCCTTTCTACCATTTTGACACCGAGAGCAGAATATCTGCCTTTAATTTATACTCCATAGTGACCACTTTGCTTTTATGATGAGATGTAGGGGCACGTGGAAGTGGGCGGGGGGGGCGGCTCAGTACCAGCTGGGGCTGGCTTGCGTCTGGGTGCTTCTGGGGACGTGTCTGGGACTGAGGGAGGACAGGTTCCCCCCACCTGCACTACGTTTCCTGTGACTCACTGCCCCTCTGGGTTTCCATAAGCCCAGTCCAATTTCTGTTCCGTCTTATAAATGCCAGCTCCCCCCAACTTGTTTTGCTGTAGGTGTCAAACCCCCAAGGAGCCATCGCTTCTGCTCACTGAGCTCTTTGAATTTACCTCCCCAATCAGAGCTGGTGTTATTTTTGGCTCTTATAAAAGGTTACTGTAAAAACAGTGTCACGCAGAATCAGGGATGTTTAGATATATGTCGGCTGTAGTTTGCTCCTCAGCTTCTCTGGTCCTGAAAGTTTAAAAACACTGGCACCTTGTGTTTATTGGTGCTGTTTATCTTTTCCGGAATTTATTAGCTTGTCACTGAATTTTTATCTGCTGTCCCTGGTCATGGAGATGCTAATGCAGGCAGTTAATGGTAAGGTAAATATGACAGGTGCAGTTATACTGTCACAGTAAGGTAGGGGGCGCTCTTCGTTTGGGCTGTCACATGTACGTATGCAGAATACCCTCTGCATTTCCTTGTGCTAAAGCCGGAGGTGTTGTACTTGTTCCAGAGGGGGAATGAAGACTGTTGGAGTTTAGCATCTCAGTTTGTGTCATGTCTCCCGTGTCCAGGTGTGCGCATATGATCGGGTGGGACTCGGGTTCAGTAAGCGAGCCCTGCAGAACCAGACCACGGGAACAGAGAAGGTGTGGGGCATGTCCACGACTGGAAGGTAAGAAGGTGAACCCCATCCGTCCATCCATTCATCCATCCTTTAACCAGTCATTCTGGTTAGGTACACAGGGGACACAGAGAGAGTTGAAGACAGCATAGAGCAGGGGGTAGCATTTCCAGGCAAAGATTAATGAGTAAAGATTAATGAGATTAATGTAATCTCTGGTGTTTCACTGCAGTCAACTTTGCAATCGTGGTCTTTGTTTAGAGTTCTTTGTTTTTTTTTTTAGCTGTTATTTTTTAATTGATATGTTTAGAGTAAGTAACTGTAGTTCAGCTGAATATAGAACTATTAACGAAACCCAGTGAAAACATTAAACATGGCCACCTGAGCTTGTGAGTCTAATATTCACGGTATGTTGTCTGAAGGTGAATGAGTCCGGTGTCCCCTAAAGCAGCCCCTTGCACTCGATGGCGGGGGTGACACTGGATTTATGACACACTGTGGCCCCCCGTGATGAAGGCTGAGGTGAAGCTCCTTAGCAGGGTGTCGGTTTTAATCCTGCTGAGTTTGTGGATATTTGGGTGGCTGATTACAACATGTCAGATCTATTCGCTGTCTGTCTGTCCATCCATCCATCCATCTGTCTCTCTCTCCTCCATTTATTATGGAGAATTGTTGTAATGTCGGGTCTTTACTTCGTCCTGATTGTCTTTAATGTTTCTTTGGTAGGATTGTGTTTTTGTAAGTAGATCTCCCCCCCCAACACACACACACACACACACACACACACCATTTTTGGCATTTACATTGTGGTACCATTTTGGTCAGCAGCACACCAGTCTGTTCTTATCAGTTAATTGCCTCTCAGACACAGCATGGTGCCCCATTTGCCCCACCAAGCAGCCCCTGCCCGTCTCTGCCGGGGTCCTGGCATGGGGTGGGCTGCTGACATTTCTGAGGAGGCCAATCGATTTCCCAGCATTCAATAATGCGGCGGGCTGGCATTACCGCGGCAGCTGCTGCCCTCGTCCCAGCTCTCGGCGTTCCAATCGCGGGGCTGTTGCCGTGTGCGGAGTTGGCGTGATGGTTTTTCCTTGCTATTTTTAAACCCATCGCTAGGTTAGAATGCACCTCCCCCCCCCATAAAAAAATAGCCCTGTATACAGTTTTATTCCTTTTTATTTTCCGTGAATTACCCCAGCCGTGCTTGAAGAGACCCCAGAGACTCGGAGCAGGATTATAAACACGGATGAAATATCAGGTCGGACTGTGATGCGCCCGTGCTGTGTTTATGGCTCCGCCGCCTACCTCCAAATGGCCGCTGCGTCGAGATGGATTGTCTCGACAAGCGACGCCGGCCCACAGGAAAGTAGAGGTGAATAAATATTTTTAAACGATGGCGGAGAGTGCCAGAAGGTAAACCTGGGATGGCCGCTACCAGACAGGTCAGAGCTCCTCCCATCTTCCCATCTAGATTTGCTGGTACTTTTCCGGGTGACACAGTGGCTCAGTGGGTGGCCTCATGGTCACGGCTTCTGTGTGCATGTCCTCCCTGTGCTGAGTACTCAGAGTACTCAGAGTACTCTGTATTCCTCCTGCAGTCCACAGACATGCAGCTGGGTGGTTTGAGGCCCTTAAATTCATATTCATTTTGTCAGCCTGTGTGTGTGTGTGTGTGTGTGTGTGTGTGTGTGTGTGTGTGTGTNACACATATTTTCGGGTTTCTGCAGTGCTTTGCAAAAAAAGACTCACTACGCACCATAATGACCAGTGAGGTACTGGACTGCTTTATAAATGTAATGTTCATCTTACATGCATCCTGTAGACAGGCTAATCAGCATCTTTAAATTGCCCGTTGTGTGTTTGCATGTGTGTGTGTGTGTGTGTGTCCGTCCTGTGATGTCCTGGCATCCTGTCCAGCATGTTTCCTCGTCTCATTCCTCCGTTAACCACCCCCCCCCCCCTTACATTTTCCTCTTGGCTTCTGGTAACATTTTAACATTTCAGTAACTTGGTCCTTCGTCCGTTCACTGCATAAGCGGTTAGAACGTGGTCGGGTGCTGGGGGCGCTTCTCTTACTCTGGAGGTTGTTGTTCCTGACAAAGGCCCCCAGAAGCAGCACTCAGTCTAACGCCAAAGCGATGCCTGGCTCTCTGGCTTCGGCAGGATGGTGGACGACCTGCACCGGCTCGTCAAGGCTGCAGAGATGGCCACGCCCCTGGTGCTGGTGGGATCCGAACTGGGCGCGCTCAATGCCAGGTTCTACAGTCACATCCATGACACGTGAGATTCCTCTCAATATTCTTGCTTATAATCATTATAATTGTGACCTGTGCATTTTGCTAGGTGTGTCTATAAGGTGTGCACGATATCACATGGGCTGCACGATATCACATGGTGATGCAATTGCGATTACATAGCGATTACATATGTTTAATAATCACCAGGGCTTTAGATGACGGTTGTAAACATTTGTCCAGACGCCGGCTTTTTGGTACTATACGGACATTTACTTACACCCACAATTTGGTAAGCAGATTATTAATATGATTAAAACATTAGTGAGAGGCAGATTGTGGCGGCCAAACGTGGCGATGAAGGAAGGGACAGATCAGCAGCCACAACATCTTTTAAAGAGGAGATATTGTGGGTAAACGAGGTAAAAAGATGTCGGTGGTGCGTCTTGCAGTTTAAAATTCGACACGTTGATTAAATATTACGATACTTTGAATTTATACAGATTACTAACCTTTGGGGGTCACAATATGCATCTCATGAAGATCTTACGCACACTACTAATCTGCTTACCAAACTGTGGGCGTAAGTAAACATCCATGTCGTACCGAAAAGCCGGTGTCCGGACAAACGTTTACATGCGTCGTCTGATGCCCTGGTGATTGTTCCGCTTGCACCCTGTAATCACGATGATGTTGTGCACCTACTCCTCCCTGGGATGGGCTCCAAGCGTCTGCGACCCCGTTCAGATACGTCTGTGCCATCTCAGGCACTGCAGACAGCTTTGTAGAGACTTTCTTATTAATCAGAAACTTTGCGTAACTTTGCACGGAACAATCCCGGTCAATCTGAGGGAGGCAGTCAGGACGCCGTCGACTGTGTGGTTGTTAAATCTAGCACCATAAATTCCCAGAACCCCCCCCTGCCCCCCAGGCATGGTGATTAATAAGCCCAGGGGCCTCTTCCTGGGTGGAGACATTTAAAGTTTCATCCTCTGTGATGTGTGGCAGTTAAGAAACTGAATTATGCCGCCGCAAACCCCCCCCCGACACCCGCCGAATAAAAATATCAGCTTGCGGTCACGGCGGCCCATTCGTCTCCCGGGCGACAACGGCGGACACGCGATACATCTCGTTCTCGTTATCGCCGCGGCGATACAGCAGACAGGCCCGGAGCTGAGGGGGGGTCGTGGGGGGCGAGGGTAATGGAGAAGGTGGCCCTTTATCATGCAGTGTCCCCTTTCCTCAGGGAGGTGTCAGACCTCGTCCTCATCGATCCTATCCCAGAAGGTATATTTCAGGAGACGCAGTGGCAGCAGTACTGGTGAGTCATCTGAGGGGGTGTGGTTGGAGGGGGGGGGGGTGGCATTAACCGTCCCCGTGCTGTTTTCTGCATTAAAACTCAAGCATGCATCCTCAAGATTACCCTATACTGGCTGGATTGGTAAATGGATAGATGGATGGATGGATGGGTGGATGGATGGATGGATGGATGGGTGCGTACGAAGGCGTCCCACACGTACGTGCATGTGGAGCAAGTGCGTACCCCGGATGGACCGACCTGCCCTAAACACACCCCACCTTGCGGCGTATGGTGCTTCCAGGAATAGACCCTGTATCTTGTATCTCCTCAGTGTGTCTGTGGACGCTGTCACTCATGCTGCCCGTTCTTACACTTCATGCTGCTTTGCAAACAGTCAGACCCACAGCCTGTTTTAATCGCTCTTTATTTCAGGGAGGTGTTTCTGCCCTTTGGAGGCTCAGCTGAGCCGCGAAAACGTGCTTTTAATATTGTGACACTCGAGTACCTAGACGTCCGCATGCTGCAAGAAAGTAAAACCCAATGCGGTTGCTAGGGAGCAGTGAATAATTTATCTTACTAACAGGTGCAAACTTATAAGCAGGAGCTGGGTAGCAAATATCAGCGTTTCAGGCTAGCATGTTATACCGCTGCAGTCTTTAGGAGAGACTTATTACTGCTTATGACTATTCTCTGCAAAAACGCACTCCAGCGATTAGCTAGCATGCTAACCCTGTTAATGTTACCTAATGGCTACTTCAATAGACCAGTGGGATGTTTTAATTAAAGAGCATGTCCTGCCATTTGCTAATTTTCCGGGTCTCTTACTACTCCAGTTTCCCTCGGCTGTGCCCTTCCCGCATCTAGAGAAAAGGGGAGTTAATGTTTTGAACTGCTGAGTCAGCCTCAGTTTAATTTCTGCTGTGGTGCTGTGCGTTCCCATAAAATCTCACATTATACATATGAAAATAAACAGGGTTTATGGAAAGAATAGGGGTTGGGGGCGGAATTTCAGGTATAGCTTATATATCATACTTTTTCTATATTTTTCATATTTTATATTTTCTTAAATTCTCATTTTTATTATGTATAATACCAGCTATTATTCTCGCACTGATATATAATCGGTTTGACCTACACAACTCTTCAGGCTACTCAGCATTTACACGGCATCCATAAATTCACTCTTTACCTCTGCAATCCTGAATATTATTCTGTTATTGTGTGTGTTGGGTCGTCCTGCTTTTGATGTAAAAAAACAGAATTTCTTTTTATTCCCAAAGCAAGTTGCTATATTTATTTTGCAAGGTAAGTCATCTGGGACTCCAGGTAACTGATGTTGACGATAAGATTTTAATGTGAAAAAACATGACAGTAGCATGCATTAATAGTAATGTAACAGGTTTAGCGATTGCTGCCAGATTTATCCTTTTTTTGGCAGTTTTCCTTCTAAATGTAAGACAGATTGTGGGTTTTCAGTCGACGCAGGCAGATTTCTGATTCAAAGCAGTTTCTCGCTACGTAGCTAAAAATGGGCACTTCTGAAGAAAAAAATAACACGTGCCGACTGAGCTGAGTGTGATTCGACTGTATCGAGTGTGTTTCTGCATGGCTATAGTGACCACCCCGATGCATCACATGGCATGATGACGCCTGCAGTCACTTGGGTGAAAAGAACAAGTGGCTGACAGTGGATACACTCACACTCACACTCTCACAGGTGGGGGGTGCTTACAGGCTCTTGCCCCTCCTGACCTGGTGATGGCACTATGTGTTGAGAAGCTGACCTATTATTGCTCTTCTGATTGGGATGCAGTGTTGAATGTCACCTTTTTTTCCTTCTTGGGGCTCAATGGTTCCAAGACCTACCTGTAATTAACCTACATACACACTTCACCTGATTCCGGTAAACATGGGGTCGAAGATCAAGTTTGTTTCATCCGACTTGATTGGCATTTCACTTGAATAAATACAAGGGCTGGACAAAATAAGAGAAAACACGTGAAAAAGTTTTTAACATTGATATAGCTGAGTCCCAATAAAAACGGAGCTATGACTGTAAGCTCAGACAGGCAGCGTTTTGATATGTGATTTTGCAAAGCAAACTTGAGGCAGCTAGCAGGTTAGCATAGAGGCTAATTGAAACCTATATGTTGTCAGCTTCACAAGGCTGGGATTTATCTCAGTCAAGGCTGATGCAGAAAGACGCCAAGCTGGTGGGAGGAGCACAAAGCGGCGCCTGACCAATGGGAGCAAGTCACATGGTCTGAGTCATTGTTCACCATTTTGTTCTTTGTCATAAGAAACCTTTTAACTGAAAGATTTATGTTTGAATAAAACTGCTGGATGCTTTCAGTTCACCTTATAAATCTCATGGGAGGCATTAGGTCTGATGATTGCTCGAGATTTTTCCTTGACAGGAAGCGATTTTGAGGCCGTTTTACAGGGTTGGGAGCAGCGAAACATGCAGACGCTGTTACCCCATGATGCTCAGACAAACACATCCAAGGGTGGTTTCATGAGCCCCAGAGTGAGCTCGAGGCCCATCCATGACCTCCCCAATCACCTGACCTAAATATCACTCAGCCTGAACCATCACTGGGAAGTTCTGGAGCGATGAGCAGGAAGTAGTTTTCCTTCACCTTTATCCATCAAAGAATTGGGGACTTCTTGAAAAATTGCCCAATATTCCATCACACCCAGTTCGGCGTATGACGGTATTCCAGGAAGGACTGAATCAGTTCTCAGGACCCCATGATGTTATTGTTTGGGGTGTCTTTCCCCCCCCATTTATGGATGAGCTGAAGGCAACTGTGATGAGGTTTGGAAATTGCTGCCTGAGCAAATGTGAGACTAACACAAAACTTGTGGAAATGCAGTTAGGTTTTTCAAATTTATCCGCAAGCAATACATCCAACATAATCGGAGCGTTGAAGAAATGCAGGTACGGTTTCCCCCCTTTCTGTCGTCCAATTTGGATGTGCCGATAAAGCCTGACCAATCAGAATGGCGGAGCTACCTGAGGACTGTTAAGGGAAGCATATCGAGCCGCAACGCGGGCTGCGCCATTTACACTTCAAAGGGCTTTCCATTAACCGCGGCTCACAAAGAAATTAGCTCCGTAATATCCTGCAAAATGAATCGCCCATGTCTCCTGAGAATATTTCAATATTTCACATGAACTTGAAAGAGTTCGGCAGGGCATGTGCGGGGGGGGGGAGCAGTAACATCGACAGTTTAGGGGGAGCTGGAAGGCATTTCCTGGCCCTCTGAACCAGAGCCGTAGATTGTTCCAGATGATTAGAACACATCGCCCGGCCCTTTAAATCAGCCTGAGACCTGTACTGTGAAAGTTAAAGCCAGTGTGCGTTTGCACTGCTGAGTTACAGGAGGAGCTCTGCAGTGTCTTAATTGCAGTTGCCTTCTAGACTGTCCCCTGTCGCTGTTTGTTTTTTATTTTTATTTTATTTCTCATTCTAATTATTCTTATTTTCCTCCCTTATCTGGGAAGGCAAGTTAATCCCATCAAAGGTCTCCCCCTCAATAGCACCCATGGAGGGGCGGGGCTGGGTGGTGGGGGCGACGTGCTGACAGACACATAAGCCGCGGGCGACAGTAGTTGTCACTGTGGAGGAATGAGGTGGGGGTGGGGGGTGGCGTCTCATCTGCCTGACCCCCTCCTAAATCAACTGACAGGGTCCCTATTCCCCTGATGCTGAGGGAGGGGGGGGGTAGAGGGTCAGGGCTTGGAGAATCGCTGTGCCTGTGTCACTCAGTGGGAGGACTGTCTCTTACGTTTACTCTAGCTGTACATTTTTACCAATTATATTGCTGCGGGTAAGGGGACATGACAGTCATTTGTGATTGTCACTTAATGCTGGTGAAGCCAACATTGGGACGTGACACCAATGCCTGACACCTATAAATGTCACCTTGGCAGGATGATCAGTCTCACAAAGGGATATTGAATAGTGTGAATTGTTTAGGATCTTGAGGCCCACGCGGCAGGAATCTAGCCTCCGGTTGATCGTTTTTAACGTCCGTTTACTCGTTACTTTGCATGAATCATTCACACACCCATCGCCGGTCTTCTTTCCCGAAGCCCGTTCAAGCGGCCATTCGATTTATATGAGCGAGACAAAAATGTAGACGCCCCCTGATAATCTATGATTGATCGTCACGTTCCCGTGTGTGCAAATATGCTGCCATATTCGTTAAACTGTATCATCGTTAATGTAGCTAACGTTGACTTTGTTGGCATTCTCCTTTTCACTTTGGGTTAAAATGGAGGATAGAGCCTCGCTGGGAAGATCACCTCAGTTCAGCAGTTAATTTCGGTGCAGAAATGTAACATGTTTCCAAATGATGGGAATGGAGAATAGATCAGTCAGCCAGTGTTGAGGTAGATCAAGAGTCTGAGGGCCTCTGCGGGTGACGACCTGAGCCAGCGTCAGGCGCTACCGTGGAGGATTTTTGCTTGGGTTGAAATCTCAGGGCTGAAATCGGTGCCTCTTAGTCACTCGAGGAGGGAGGTGGGTTTTTTTCTAAAATTATCAAGATTCCCGCTGTACCTTGAGAGTATGCAGGGATAATTATGTCAGTCTTAAGGCACTTTAATTTCATGTCAAAAAACTCACATTGACCATATATATACATTCTCATCATGGTTAAAATTAATTTTACTGAGTATATATGATATATCCGGTCTGTCAAACAGGGGGCAATAAAAAAAATCAGTAAGTAGCCTGATGTTATGTTAAAGGTTCAAAGGTTATGTTTTTGTGTTTTGTTTTGTTTTACTTAAAATTATGCATATGTCAATTTGTTTAGGTGAATTACTACTAGTGACTGTCTGGGGGGGTGTTTACCACCACTCACACCTTGCATTTGCATGGGCCCCTGATGTTTGCTGGGGGGGCGCTCTTTTGGCCACAAATAGAAACCACACTAAATGCTAATTAAACACATTCCTTATGTAGGAGATGCTGCATGTTTTGCTAACCAGCTAGCTAGCTGTGATCTTCTGACTCTGCATGGGGGGGTGGAGGGGTTGGTATCTTTAGGTAAGCCTCAGCTGAGCCGATGAGGACCAAAAAAATCACAGTTTACAGCGATGATTCACACTGTGCCAAGTCCTCGGGTATTTAGCTATCAAAGGACAAAAGGTACATTGTATCAAACTTCAGAGGCGTTTGCGTTTGATCCGAAATCAATGCGGAAATACCTCAGCATGTTTATAATGTCGATGCCATTTAGTCTGTCAGTAATCATGGCAGGTAGCTGTGGGGAACCGATGGAATTTAATCAATGCAGATTAGCTGTTACCAGCATCTTGGGTGAAAGTTCCTGTGCAGCCAATTGGTCAGAGCAGTCCTGGAGAGAATGATTGGCAGACTGGATCCCGCCCGCTTTTTCTTCACACGCTGTACTCTGAAAGCAGTGCTTGACTGACACACACTGGTCATGTCAGGAAACTGCCATGTTTACTGGAAGTCTTATATGCAGTAATGATAATGTAACCTTCATCGACTATAATCTGTCCTTTTTTTTTGTTGGAAAATTATTCAGATTCTGTAATTCTGTGTGTATATAAATGTATGTATGTATGTACAGCTCCCTTTGTAATTACTTAAGACTAAGAACAGGGGTAGATTTAAGTCCGCACTCGATAGATCCAGGTTTACCTAGAATCGAGAAACATTCCCGGAAGTATCTGGAAAAGGCTGTAAGATTGGCTCAAAACAGAGTGAAATAGCAGGACAGTGACTGTATCTAGCAATCCACGCGTGTAATGCTGGATGTTCTGCTCACGTGCAAGTATTTTTGTGGCTAAAATATAAAATTACATGGTAATGAACGGAGGTGTTATCGGGGAGGGCTGGGCTGCAGAGGGGTGCGGTTTGGAGGGGACGAAATTCCGACAGTGAATCGCGCAGTTTAACAAAACTAACAGAGTGACCGTTCATCCTGCACTAATCCAGATGGAAAAGTCAAACAGCAGAAAGTCTGCGGCACAAACTCATTTCACCACTTTATTAATTTAGATATTTCCCTGCCACCCCGCCACCCCCAAAAAAGGGTTTTGCAGTGACCAACAGCTTTGCCCTACATGTTTTGTCGTCATCGCCCGTGTTATCGGTTTAATTCATCCCGCCAATCTTCCCAGTCTTTACCCACTGAATTTCCCCTTGACACGCATGCCTTGCCCTGTATAATCCTCTCTCCCGAGCAGAATTAAAAACGGCGACAGGCCGAGGGGTGGGGGAGGGGGGGTTGGGGCAGGTGGCTCAGCGGGCCTTCAGATGTCGTCAGCCTGATGGGAAGGACTGGGCCACAATCAAACAGGTCCACATGGCACCGTGGGGGCAGAAATGCTGACGCGCCTGAAGTAATGGGGGGGTCCGCAAGGAAGAGGTGTGGTCTGCTATAGACATCACACCAGCAGTCTGCCTTCACGCATTTCCATTCAAAATAAGAAATGTGTAATTAATTCCTGAATGCTGTGACTCTTGGGGGGTTCTGTCGGGGCTCCTGGTCCTGATAAACTTGCAACACCCAGGAAATTTTTACACCTTTTTTTTTTTAATGTCATGGACTCCCTCCCCCGCATGAATATCTTTTATCATTGTCGTCTAAATATCGAAGTGCATATTTACACCTATGGAGGGGACCTGCAGACGTCCTCAGACCCTGTTGCGCTTTATTAACCTTGCTAATTTCGCTAATTACGCATTTAGCAGTCAAACCCGGATACGCCCCATCACGCGTGCAGCAGAACGGCTAGCGTGAAAGGCTAGCTTGTGCGCGACATTCTGCTCCGATCCCCATTTTTATGTTGGCATTAAACATTTTACAGGTGTGTTGCCCCGCCTCCTCCTTAAAGCGCTGGCACTGATGGCCGTGCGAACAGGAGGGGTTCGGTTCACAGAAAGGCGGGGGACAGTTTGTAGGGCCCTGTGGTCCGGGACCAGCCAATCAGGTGCATCGGTGAGCCGAGACCGAATGGGGGAGTGCAGAAGCGTGTCGGAGATCGGCCTGGGTCACATGGCCGGGATCCCGTCCGTTCCTCTGCGTCCAGGCACCTTGGAACGCACACACGTTTATGTACACGTTTAAATGCGTGGTTTGTTTTACTCTCGATCGGTCCGTCTGAGTTCCTGACCCAGCCTGGGTACCGGTTTGCCACTCAACTGTGTGGGAAGTTGGACAGATTTCCCACGGGGGCTCTGGTGCCATCCTCTCTGAAACACACCCCGCTCTTCTCCTTCCTACTCGCTGACATGCCTACCCACCGGGTGATGCCTTATTTACTATAACTGTATAAATACACCCCCCCCCCCCCCCCCCCCCCCCACGTACGGCTTGGAGCTTTTTAGCAACGCAGGTCAGATACGGTGCCTGCCGGGAGCTCTGGTCTGCACCCAGTGCCCCCAGTGCCCATCTCGCCCATTCTGTTACAGGCCCGACTCCCTGCTTGTCTTGCTTCTGTCCCCATGGCTGCCGCATGGTTTCTTTTCTTCGTTTCGTGTTTGGTGGATGTTTGACGACTCAGCAATCCTTGGTTTGGTCTCATTGTGGTCTAGGGACCTGCAACATTGTAAAATGTCCAAAAAGTCTTGGGTGGATGGATGGATGGATGGATGGATGACAGTGTTGTTATCTTTCTGATGTTACAGATTCTTGTATGATGCCACAACATCCCTGTTCATTGGACAGCTAGAAAAGTTGACCTGTAGTAATTTAATGTTATGAGTAATCATTTTATTAGTTTTATCGTAGGCTGTGATGCATCCTGGGAAATTAGCATTGTCCTGATATACCCTGGGTGTAAAGGTGTTGTCGTCGTGTAGCATCACCCCCGGGAGCATGGGGAGGACCTGGGCCTTTGCCTGCTGGCTGGATGGCGGCCATCTTTAGCTAACACTCAGCGTGTAGCTGAATGTGTGTGTCGCCTCGCAGGTACTCGCAGCTGGTGCCGTACCTGCAGATGATGCAGCTGGCCGCCGCCACCGGACTTACCAGAATATTCATCATTCTGGGATGGATACATCCAGCGATTAAAGGAGAGATGGTGTCCGAGGATGTAATTCAGAGGCAGGTGGGTCTGCGTTCTGTTTAATTCCGTACGGCGATACCATTTAAAGAGACGTGGATGCTATGAGTAATATTCACCTGGGTCCTTTCCCTGGTTGAAAGTCTGAGACCTACTGGGAAATGTTAGTGAAGGAGCTGCTGTACCGCGTGTGGCCACATGGTGGGGCGAATGTCCAGGTGATGGTGTTTTCATTGCGGTACCCTTGTTCCTTGAATGCCTCCGATTGCGGGTCAGAATTTGTTTCAGCTGCCCAGGTGTGCTGAGTGACTTTCTGGGAATTTAAAGGCTCACAGAATGCGTGTAACTGGCGTTTGGCCCAAGTGAAACCTGCAAATTTGGCTACAAATTAACCTTGTGACACTGACCAGGGCAAATGGTTGAAAGAAGGATGGAAGGATGAGTTAACCTTTGTCTGATCAGAAATTCAAGTGTAAAAGTTCAGAGAATAACCAGTCAGGGAGATCCTGTGCCAAAAGTTACCTAAATCCCAAGCTGTTTGCGTGTTTGCTGGGGTGGGCCGATACAGGACAAGCAACCAATTTGTTTTGGTTTTCAGGCTCGCCCTATTGGGAGTGATGTAACTCACTGACAGATGACTGTAAACTTGCTTTTTTAAATGTATATTTCTTTGTTTTATATCAACACAAATGCACAAATTATATGTGCTTAATCCATTTTGGAGTTTGCCTCCGGAAATATCAATGTAGGTATACAGGGTGAACGGTTTACCTACAGGACAGTGTAGTGTTTGAGTCCGTCTTGGGCGAGTCTGAGTCAAGACCGAGTCCAGCAGGGGGGCGAGTCTGAGTCAAGACCGAGTCCAGCAGGGGGGGTGAGTCTGAGTCAAGACCGAGTCCAGCAGGGGGGGCGAGTCCAGAAAAACACAAATTCAATTCTAGATTTTGAATCTGATTTCAAAAACCATAAACAAAATAACACATGTAAAAATGGTTCTGGAATGAAAGAATATGTATACAGCCATACAAAATTCCTTTAAAAGGCTTTTTTACATGAACCTTTTTATTAAAAATTAAATAATGTACACAATGTAGCTAAATGTGTACTTTAGGCCAACAACCAACTATCTAAGACAAGTATATGGTATCTCTTATGACTGGGACGTTAAATCAATTACCTTAATTTCACACTCAATAACGCCCTGTCACTTTTAAAGGTGCAATTTTCTTGCCATTTAAGTCCATCCAACATCTGATCTAGGCTTGAGTGGTATTAAGGTAATGCAGTATACTGTGGAATTTTGGGTATATTTATTTTTGGGAATTTATACCCTAAATTTATCACGGGGAACCCCAAGTTGACAGTGTTGCTTTCAAAATAATGTAAAAATTCAGTATAACAATTGCTGACTTGGCAGAAGTGATGTCGGACATGAGCGGCTTGTGCACAAAGTTAGATGATCTTTGACACTAATATAGGACGTTGAGTCACCAGTGTGCGAGTCTAAGTAAATATCAAATAAAAATTCACCCGAGCTCACTTACGTGTGCATTCACGAATACCACAACTCAGCTACGTGTTTTCTCTTAAAAATAACTAAATGCCATGGAATTCCTTCCCATTTAACCCTGGATATGTCCCGGGATGAGTCAAAGCTCAGTCCCGGGTTCGAGTGTACAGTAGAATGAGTTTGATCCTGCAGGATGCCCATAGGGGGGTACTCATCATACCTCTGATTGCGTTGATATGGTGCATTGTTTATTTTGGGGTGGGAGTGATGCAGTGCTGAAATTCTGAGAATAAGGTCATCGCTTTCAGTGCCATTGACACTAGTGTTTGTGGCAAGATGGTGATAACTGAAGGAGATAGATCCCCAGATCACCCAGCATTATATCATCTCTGATAATGAGAAAAGTTGAAAATCATCTGTTTATTTAATCGAGTGTCTGTTCCAGGTTAGAGTCTGAGCTGTTCATTAAAATACCTCAGCCCCCCCCCCTCACATTTTGATGACACTGAAGATGAGGAACTTATTTCAGGTTTTTCAGTGATATAGTTGTCTGCAGGGTGATAAGGACCATGAGAATGACAGTATGCTTGAATTCTCATGGAAAAAAGGGAAGTTTGAAAGCAGACCAGAGGAGATTATAACACAGAAATGGTAACACAGACAACATCTGCATTCAGTCTTGCCAAACAAGGTCTTTTCAGAAGGTCTAATTGTGCTCTCGACAAGCTACTGAGTAAATATAATGGCAGACCTTGGTTTTGATGGTATACTTTACAGATTTAGCCTGAAAGTCTCCTTTTTAACCCCCACATTGTATGAATATTGTGACGCATTAACCGGCAAGTGCGGTTTCTGATGGCATCACCCTCTTCTTTCACCTGGTAGAAATATCTCCTGAGCAACCCGTCTCACCAAAGCAGCGCTGTGGACGAGCACTTTTTCCTGAACGAGAGCGCGTCCCAAGTCAGGTGAGAGGGGTCAGTCTCAGGGGTCAGTCTGCCGCTCCTCCTGTGGTGTCCCACCCGAACCTTCCCATGAACATTAAAATCAGTTTTCTACCTGCAGTGTGTATCCTAACAATGACAGTTTACCTGTTTGTTTGTTTTTCAGAGAAATTTCAGTATATAAACCGCTGACAAGCCGGACCTCTGTCAGCATGGTAACGGGTGATCACTTTGACAGCCGGTTTCCTGCTCATCTCAACCAAGTAAGCCTTCCGTTTTTCCAGAAAATCCGTCTTTTAAGTTCGAGGCGAGATAAATAGGGAGGTTTACTTCTCATCTAGGATGCATTTCTCTTTAATTTCTGCAATTTGCTTGTTTTAGATTGTTGCCGAGCATCAAAAGAGATTCCAGGAGCAGTTTTACCCATCAGCTAAGCGGATCCACGTCCGTGGGGCGGATCGCAGAGCCATCTATGAAGATCACAGCATTATTAGCCGGCATTTGCAGGAGATCGTCGCGCAGAGACAACTTAAACAACAGAGCCAGTAAAATTTAGAATTGACATATGACAATTCCTAGCTGTAGTCCTGAATGTCCACTTAATAACAAAAATTCCTTTTTAAATACTGTTTGTTACGAGCTCTGTTATTCCAAGATTACACCCAGGTCATAACTTGTTAATTGAGTGTACAGGCGTTCGCTTGACCTAAATAAGGACACATGGTTTTTGTTAATAAAATGTTCTGGTTTCCATGATGTTATTTCATCCGTATGTATGATTTTCCTCTACAGTAGTATGTTACTTGTTGACCCTGCACTTGCATTGCAGGACGACTTAGCTGGCTAATTTGAGCTTAACAGACTGCTGTGATACGTGCGGTAGGCAGAGCCGCAGCTTCACCCCTCCAAGGCTGGCAGTTCACACCCCACCCCTGATTGTGTGTGTGTTCCACGTGCAGGGCATCCCCAGGTACTGCGGTGCCCCCCAGCGGTGCCCGAGGTGTGTGATGCAGCAGACTGGCGTCTCTAAATGGTCCTTAATGCATGAGTGTGCTGAGCGTTGGTGCCCCATCCAGGGCGCCCCATCCAGTGTGCCCCATCCAGGGCGCCCCATCCAGTGTGCCCCATCCAGGGCGCCCCATCCAGTGTGCCTCATCCAGGGCGCCCCATCCAGGGCGTCCCATCCAGGGCGTCCCATCCAGGGCGTCCCATCCAGGGCGCCCCATCCAGGGCGTCCCATCCATGGCGCCCCATCCAGGGCGCCCCATCCATGGTGCCCCATCCAGGGTATCCCTGCCACCTGCCCTGTGCTTCCTGTCTAGCAGAGATCTCAAAGCACCAGCCCACGGGCCTGGTCCAGTTCCATATGGCCTGTTACATGTTTTTAAATCATAAAATGTGGCCCGCACTTAAAACTTTGATTTTTCCACTTTGTACTTTTTCTTTTATGCAATCTGCACAGACTTTCTAATAGGTTTTCTGATAGATTAGCAGGATATAGACATTATTTTGTTTTTTCTTCACTTTCTCTTCACTTTTGTCTCATAAAATAAAGCTGAGTGCCCCTTTGGCAAAGGACCGTCTAGCCAGTGGCTCCCTGATAATTTGAGTACGAGACCCCTGCTGTATAGGCTTTGTAGGAGTCGATACAACCATGTACTGGATGAGAAATGATGGATGGATGGATGGATGGATGGATGGATGGATGGGGGATTGCAGAAAAGACTCAACACTGAGTTATCCTGAGGATTGAAGTTTAATTATGACACCACATCAAAATAAAATTTTCAACAGTTCTGGAATTTTATTCCATCCATATACATGCATAGCAACGACATTTTTTTAAGAAATACTTTTTTTTTCTCCCTTGGAATGGTCATGTGAGCCCAGTGTTTCCCAAACCCCACCCCCCCATCTCATTCATCAACATCAATAGATTTCATTATTTTACGATTTCACCCCCCCCTCTCCCTCCCAATGGGATACAAACAAAATCTGAAGTCATCCTGTCCTAATACTGTCTCCAGTACCTTTACTTCCTTTACAAAGTATTGCGTCGAAAGAGCAGAGTGTTATAAAGAGAGATGGATGGTCTGTCAGCAAACAGAAACACGAGTACTATACAGGAACGCTGCCATCCTCATGGAAACATCCAATTCCGAGTCGAAAAGGGGGGGAAAATAAAGACGAGGACTAACGGCTACGTACATACGAAAAGCTGGCGGTGCATGCCCGTGTGAGAAGCTTGGGATTAACCCTGGTTATCCCCACAGTGCTGATCCGGGGTGGAAGCTTCAAGGATCCTGTATGCAAATGACCTTCAGGCATACGCTAAAACGCTCACGGACTCGGGTGCCTAAAAAGAAGTTCCCAATGTAGTCGGCGTCTATGGTGGCGTGTTTATCCTACATTACAGTGTAAACAATGTGTGCTGCACAAGAATGACTATACAATAACATTACAAACGACTCTGATATAAATTTCATTTTCATTTAAATTAAGATCACTACTCCTATTAATACTGATCGTAAAATAAATAAATGTGAAAGTGGCACCAATATTACACAATTTTTTGTTGCGTTTTTTTTTTTTTTCTCCTTTTTTAAAACCAATGATCTGCGTTCGAGTCTTAAAATGACGAAAAGAAGATGCTTCTCTTGATTGTCCACAAGCAGCGCATAAGGGCTGCGCGACGCACGATTCCAGACGCACTGGCGTACCGAGGGGGTGGGGGAGGCGGGGGGGAGGGGGCATCACTTCACATGCTCGGCCGCGTGCGACGAGCAGTAGAACTTCTTGTGGGTTATAAAGTTTGACAGGTTGTTGAACTGGATGTCACAGAGGCGGCAGTATTTCCCGCCGCCGGTTGCCTGTGTTGAGCCGTTGACACCTTTTGTGATGGGGGGCGCAGTCTCCTCCGTTGGCGACTTGGTCGACGGCGACACATTCTCGTTGGAGTCGGCCGGGTTCTCCGACCCCCACGTGGGCGAGGGGTGACCGTCCGGAGGCTGCGAGTGGGCATGGTTCTCCTGTTGCGGGGGCCCGGCCGTGGACCTCTCCTCTGGTTTGTGCCCGCCATTAACTATCACCATGCCCCGGTTTTTGGGCAGTAAGGGTAAAGAGTCTTTGCCAGGATGGGGGCAGCCATTTGGTGCCGGCTGGACCTTCCCTGGCTCGGAACCTCCGTTTGTGCCCTGTTCCAGCTCACTTGCCTCTCCCTGCACGATGAGGCCTCCTCCGATATAATCGGTGGGCTTTATCCCATAATATGGGGATATCTGTTCACCACCCTTTACCTTCTTTATTGCTCCGGGATAAAGGCAATGGGGCAGAAAGAGATTCTTGTTCTCCTCCTTGGCCGGCATGAGCTGGGCCTCGCTGAAGGCCTTGAGCCCTGGCAGGGAACCTAGATGGGAGGAGAACATGCCGCCGTTCTGCGCCATCAACTTGGCGCTGCCGTTTTTGTCGCATTTCGTCTGACTCTTGTCGAAGATGTCGTCGGGGTTATTGCCTTCGGTTTTGACGTCGGGGAACATGGCCTGGTCCAGGGCCCTGATGTCACCATGCTGGGCTGCGGTCACGGGGCAGAAGTTCTGTTTATGTGCCAGGTAGTTCTCCACTTTATTGAAGCTTATCTTGCATACGGTGCACTCGTGGTAATCGAGGAGCCGCCGAGGTGAGCCGCACGGCTTGTCGGCGTGTGGCGAGCACTTTTTGCTGAGGTCGATTGGGGCGTCAATCTCTTGCGGGTCCATTGTGTTGCATTTGGGGCCCAAGATCGACTTGGAGACCGTTAGCGAAGCTTCCAAGTGTTTCGGGACCAATCCTGGGAACATGTCGCACCTTGGGTGGAAACGGTCGGCCAGCGTCTCCACCGCTTCCTGGGAGGTGCAGGGGCTGCCTAGGGTGGGCATCCCCAGGAAACCCGGCTGGCCCAGCGGGGGCCTCTGCTCTTGATCGGGGAGGCACATCTCGTACATCTTCCTGCGCTTGCGTGTCCGCATCGTCCGCTGCATGGCAGGCACCTTGTTGGTCGACATGCGCTTCACAGGCGGGTCGTGACGTGTGGCACAGTAATACTGCTTGTGGACCATGAAGGTCTCATGTCGGCTGAAGGTGATGTTGCACGCCTCACAGGTCGTCTTGTTGGGGTCGTTGTCATTCTCCACCAGGGAAGCGTTAGGACTCTTTCCATCCACCTGCTTGCCGTTTAGCCTCTCTTCTGCACCAGCGGGTGTGGCAGTGTTTTTGTCCTGCCCTCCGAGGTCCTTGTCAGGTGCCTTGCCTCCTGCGGCCATCATGTCCAAGACGGAGGAGTTCAGGCAGGCCGATGGCACCAGGTGGCTGTCCGCATCCCCCGGGAGGCATGGCGCCAGCATCCCAACAGATCCATGCCCTGCATTCGGGCTCGTGGCCTCCGCTGCCTTGTCGGTCACACCAGCAAAGTCCGGCGACTTGGCCACGTGCTGCCAGCGGCTGTTGCAGTAGTGTTTCTTGTGGACCAGGTAGTTGTCCAGGTTGTTGAATGTGATGTTGCACTCGAAGCAGGTGGCGCCCTTTGGCATCAGTGGGCTGTAGATCACTGGTGGGTAACTGTTCCCACCGTGCCTCAGCCGGCGGTGCACCAACTCTGACATCTTCGCCAGGATCTCGGAGGCTTGGGGAACTACAGAAATGTCCTGGGAAAAGGGAAACTGGGATAGGAAGGGGCCCATGGGAAATGTAGGCCCCATGCTATGCTGGACTGGCGAGGAAGCAAGACGGGGGCTGGAGGGCTCCGACTTGATCCTGGTGTAGGAAAAGCTGGCCTTGCTGCCCAGGTGGGAGTCGCCCTTCTGGGTTGATGATGCCGTCTTCTTCTCCGGCTTCTCCGGCTCGGCGTCGGAGTGGATCTCCTTACCCTGGGTGCCCTTGGGGCTCTGCAGAAGGTCCTTCCTGCCAAGCAGCTCGGCCCTGGCCTGCTGTGGGCCGTCCTCGCCGGCCCTGGGGGAGTGCTCGCTGTCGCTCTCGCGCCGAAGCTTGCCGCCATGCCCGTGCAAGTCTTGGTGCTGTGAGAGTTCCCGGTGACTCTGGAAGCCCACGTGGCAGTGGCTGCACCGGAAGGCCGCCTGTGACAGGTGGGAGAGGATGTGGTGCTGGAATGTGATGAGAGAGTCGGCCGTGTAGCTACAGATGGTGCATTTCAAGCTGCTGCCAGGGGGGAGGGTCTCTTCTACCTTGACACCTGTGAAAAAGATGAAAAAAGGGCTCAGACTCCTCTGCTCACATCTCTCCTTAATGTCCATAGGAGCGATGATCAAAGAGCCCACCTTCAGCTGCCCGTACTGTGCTAAACACCAGTATTACATCCTTCTCCTCAGCCTGCTCAGACCAGGAATTGAACCCAAGGTGTACCGGGCTAAGGGGTTCACCCAGCCTTGCTGTTCTAGCCACATCGCCACCTGCTGTGCTGTGTGTCTCGTGCCGCTGCTCCCGCCCTCTCTCATCTGGGATTGGCTGATGTTGTTGGTGTGGCCTGTTTCTGTTGGACTGCCTTGGGCCCTGTGTTGCCTGGGATATGCTCCAGGCCACGACCCACGATAAGCGACTGGAAACTGGACTGATGGATGGGTGGGTGACTCCTATTGCCCTAAATGATTCTGCTAAACCGCTGGGCTGCAGAGGATGTGTGCCAGCCTACTCACTGTTGTGCGTCGCCAGGTGCATCTCCAGGGCCCGGGGGCCAGAGAAGCTCTTGTTGCACTGTGGGAAGGGGCAGGCGCTGGGGCTCTGGTGGGGGCTGGCCTCGCTCTCGTCTGCGGCCGGCTCGGGCTCCCGCTGCCTCCCGCTGCAGTAGTACATCAGGTGAGCCTGCAGGTTTCGTTCGCTCCGGAACCAGATGCCACACGCCTTGCAGGGGAAGATGTCCTCTGGGGGGGGGGAGGGGGGGTTACAGAAGCCGGGTCAGGAACAAGAGCATGTAGAGCTCTACGGATCAAGGACAGAGACTAGAAGGTGAACCCAGACTGCCATTTCATTTGACAAGTCCGCATGCCAGTCCTGCTCTATCCAGGTTTGCAGATGTGATGTTGACGTCACGCACATCTGGACATTGATATTACTTACACTGACGAGGGACTCAGCACTCATTAATAACTCGTTAACATTCATCTGAAGAGTAGTGTGTACCTGATACTTTATGCATGTATAAAATCTGACAACTGCTCATATGCATACTTGATTCATATTTCTTTCTCAAATATCCCTTATTCCTTAATCCATCATAACCCTTATTACAAACCTTTAACCCTATTCCAGCATTCCACAAGGGTGATTCTAAGATTTTTTTATGTGGGGGGCATTAGCAGAGCCGTACTCCATACAGAACGGCCAACATTATCATTAGCTGACGATATGTAGTGAATCGGGGAATGACTGGGGAGGGGCCACTCTGGGCGCCAATCAGCGGAGGCCCCGCCTCTGCAAATGCCCCTGGAATTCTGGGAAGCTGGTGGGATTCTGTACTGAAACCCATCAGCGGAAATGTGCTGGAGTGACAGCTAGGGTGCCGACGGCAATGCTCACTGTTGACGATGGCGGTGGGCAGGATGGAGGCCATGGCGGCTTGCTGGGGGAGCAGCTGGATGCTGTCGAGCAGCCGCGCCGGGTACATCCCCTCCGACAGCGACATGTGGCCGAACGCCTGCAGGCGCGAGTCGAAGTCCACGGCGAACGCCACCAGCTCCTCGCCCTCCGCTATGTTCCTGGTGGTGGTGCACCACAGCTGTCCCCCTGCAGGAGGGAAATGGCGGCACATCAGGAGGGACTCGGTGAAACGTTAGCACCCCCCTACACAGGCCTGCATCCCGTTAGGACCCGTAAACGCTGGAGGTCACGCAAAACGCAGACACTTTTATCCAAGATGTTGTTTTGAGAAAGCGGAGTCAGAAAGGAGAAATCAGAGACCCAAAAGTGAAATCATTCAGCTGATCATGGGATTCGAACCAGTGGCCTTCTGATCACAGGCACAGGGTCCAGCACTGCTGAGCAGCACACTGCCCCCCCGACACAGCCATCTCTATTTACTGTTTACTCTATTTACTCTACTTAGTGTCAGAGCTTCACCCCTCCAGGTGTAAGGTTTTGCCGGCTCGTGTTCCCTCCAGTCTCTTGAGTAATTGCCACATCTCTTCTGTGATTAAGCTGTTAGCTCGACATGCACGATGTAAACCATGTTAATCATGTTTAAAATGTATTTATCAATTCACTTGTCTGTGCAATATCACCTCATTTTCTTTATTTGTGAACATTAAAACAGAATAATATAACACAGATTTAAACAAAAATAAATGTTGAACAATATCTCTAGCTTTCTTGAAGCATTGCAAGCATTTCCTTAAAAAAATCACACTCCCCTTGACCTCTTCCAAGTCCCTGAATAATGCAGCAGGGAACAGGGAGGTCAATGGGGGTATATACAGTAGGGGGCGCTATGGAGACTGAAATATGGAGGGGTATGGACATGTTTACTCCCCTTCCACCCAGCTGGGCATGAAAGCCACTTAACATGAAATAAACCATGAAATTATTCCAGCGAACCCTGGTAAGACCTAGAGGAACTTGGCCCTGGAAGGTCAGAATCACAGCAGGTGGACCCCCCTGCGATCTCTGGCCACAGCCTGTGTGTAGCGGGGAAACACAAGGCTTATATCACTCAACCCAGATCATATCATGAACCCAGAAACGGTCCGGATGCTGAAGGTCACATTTCAGCTGTTTTTTCCTTTCGTCTGAACCGTTGCCGCGTTACAGTAAGATGAGTCAGTTCTTCTTTCCCCCTGCTGTGCGGCTGACTTGGCCCTTGTTGGGATTTCATGCACCGCAGAAGTAATTATGCTACAAAGGCCTGATGAGGATTCATACTGGGAGCGGATGTCTGACACTGGGCGCCGTGGTCTGCAGGCGTGCAGCATGAACTGCCAACCAAAACACAAAATTAAGATTTACATTTATTTTTATTTAGTAGATGCTTTTGCCCAAAGCGATGTGCAAGTCAGACAAACAGCACCTTACAAACATATCTGCTGTCAAGGATGTGACTAGGCGTGAGTGCAGTGAGCTTCCAGTGAAGGACCAGGTACAAGCAGTATTGGAGCAGGAGATACGCAACATCTTCTACATGCAGCAAGAATCTTATAAGATTATTTGATGAGCAGAGAGGCATCGGACTCGTTGAGGTGTTCCTGGAACAGACGGGGCCTGAGGCGTCTCTCGTTGGAGAGGTGGAAGTAGAGGCTGATGCAACAAAGACTCACACCCTTCAAATGTTTACTTTATTTTCACTGCATATAATGCACCAAATACCGCAGAAGATGCTGCGGAGGCCTGCACATTTGCCCACGCCTCCAGGGTAGGGGGTTCGAACCTCTGTGTGTTGGTTGATTGGTTTTGTATGTTCTCCCTCTGTCGTACAGAGCTATCTCAGTCCGAAGACCCTTGGGTGAATCGGCATCCCTTATTGTTCTGAGTGTGTGCCAAGTGTGTGCCAGGCATGTGTGTGCTTGGCACCAGACTGGCATTCCCAGTTTCTTCTGCCTTATGCTCCGTGCTTCCTGGTTTCTATAATCCAGTGCCTGAGTATTGGTTGGAAGATGGATGCATACTGTACATGGATAAATACATATCTATAATACATTTGAATGCAAAAATGGTTTGATTGGCTGTGTTCAGTCATGTGACTCAGAATGCCACGCTAAATTTCACGTCCCAAATTCAAACTTTTTGGGGCTGACCCGAGCAGTAGGAAATATGGCATGAATAGGACACCTGGGACGAGCCTCAAATGATTAAATTGCATTGTTTTGGATTAAGCATTCTGGCGGAGTCTTCCGGATGTTTCCATCGCGCAGGAAAAGCTTCCACTCAGATAATATTTATCTCTGGACATGACAGGCTTTTCAACTGCACTTCATTTCCACTGAAGAGATTAAAGTTTTTAATGTGACTATTTACAGAAATCTGGCCGGCGAGATAACAACAAACTATGATACACCCGCGCGCTAAATGGCAGAATTAGGACATTGTCTTAGAGAAAAGCTGGACAATTAATTAAACGGCCCTGTTAGCTTTCGGTGATACGCAAACAGCCCTGCTGGGCACCGGGACGGATGGGGTCCAGCGGCGTTTCCGTGCGACGGAGAGAGCGAGATTTCAGCCGACGCACAGGCAACAGAGAAAAGAGCAAGATCCATACATTCAGGCAGAAAGGAAAGTTACTAACGTCTGGTCCAAAAAAATCACAGACTTTAAGAGAAAGCTAAATACTATAGGTTTGATACTGAGCAAAAAATAAACTCAGATAATTGAATATATTGAGGTTTTTGTTCAATCCACGTACATAAAAGTGCCAGAATCCTATAATGCTAATTTCTATGGAAAACGAATCATAACTTAGTGATATTAAAGTGCTTGTTTTATTTATTTCTGGACCAAAGCTGTTAGTTGTCTCAGAATTATCTGTATCTGCGCTACCCACAGCTATCCCATCATAACTTCCTGAGTGCTTTTTTTGCCACAAATTGCAAATCGCAACTTTCTATTTACATTTATTTATTATTTTATCCCACAAGGCAGTTACGTATTTGGATCGTTACCAGTTTTTTTTCCCCAAAGATGCACCTAATACCAATAATTTATGGAGCTAAAACTGTATCTAGCCTGTGGGGTGTGTTTCAGAGAGGGTGGTGTCAGAAGGCACCTCTGCATCTGCTTTTGTGGGGAAGGCCTTATAGACAGGAAGTGATGTGATTTAAAGGGCCAGCGCTACCTACCAGGACCCCCCCCCCCAAAGTGTACACATACAGGTCTATTCAACTCCCATTTGTGAGTCTGTCACATGGCACACTGCCTGCAGAACCACTTAGAGTGTCGTATAAGTAACATAAAGGCAGACTGGCACTGACAGCTGGAGCGCAGATTGGCTCATGGGGAAAGTTTTAAGCCTCAGCAAGCACAAGTTCGGCCGCAGACAATTCACAGGGAGCAAAGAAACAGGCAATGAGCATGAAATGGACTGATGGAGACCAGAGGAACATTGCTGATGGATTAACTGCTGCTGGGAATGTGAACAGATCCACGAGGCCCGGGGGCAGGAGGCCATGAGGACACACGGTGTCCCTCTGGGAAGACGCCGGCCAGACACCCACGCAAAAACTACCAGGCCCTACCTTCTGCTCCCTCTCTCCCCTCCCAAATAAGGGTTAATACACTAAATGGTTAATAATCAAGTAACTGCTTGTCCGATGACCTCGCCCCTCCCCTTGGATGACCCCCCCATCCCCGTCCTTCTCAAATCCCAAGTCGTCCTGAAGGATCTGAAACCTCAGCACTTCCCGAGCGCTCCTCTCTGGGATCGGAAAGCCATTCCTAACCAGTCTGGGATTGTTTGCAACGTCTCGTGCAGCCTCTATACCACAGTGAGCTTCTCCTCCACGATTTACTACCCTCTGATTCCAAGTTCAGTCTGCTCCCGCTTTAGCATTCTGGCTGCCCCGGCTGGCTGGGAGTCGGATTTGAACCCCCCCGGCCCCGAGGGCGGCCTAGATTCAGGGTTCCCCACCCCAGGCAGGTTTCCATACCAGCTCTCACCCAGGTGCTAATGGGTAGCATCACAATATTAATAAACTCCACTCTGTGTGTAGCCCACGCTAATGCGTCTAGGTCCAGCAGACACGTCCGGGCTGAACCCCAACGCCGTTCATTTCCGGAGAGCCCGCTTTGAGTCTTGTACCGGCTGTCTGGTACTGGAGGAGCTGGCTTCTTGGCGCGTGAGCGGGGCCCCTTTGTGAGGCGGCCATCGCCGTGGCGACGCGGGCCATTGTGCACGTCCTCCTGCAGAGCACCTGATAAAAGCGTAAAGACCTCTGACATATTCCTAAAACAATAGGGGAATTAGGCAGAGACAATAGGCCGGCTGCTCCATTAAAACAATCAGGACGGCATCCTGTACTTAGTCCAGATAATTAAACACTACCGCTCCCTCCCCCCCCCCCCCCCCCCCCCCACAATGAAATGATTTTTTGGGGGGGGGGGGTTGGGGGCTACGATTCCCTGCTTCCATGGAATTTGTAGAAGATCCCCCGGATCTACCAGCGATCCATAAAATAAACCTGTTTCAAGTGGAAATGTATTATTCAATATGCATGAGTCCAGTAATGCGAAAGGCATTCCATAGCCGCCTATCACAAAGGGGAAATAAATAAAAATTGCATCACTTGCTTCGTATCTCCTGTGGTAATGTTTTGCTTCATACTGCTATTCATATTAATGGTTCATGGCCTGATATCTGACTTGAACTCTGAGTACACAGATTTCCTTGGATTACATCAGATTCGTGCCACAAGGATCGAGCCGAGTTTTGTAAATAAGTCCCAGGAGTCGACGTGCGTCCAACGGCGCCCCCCTGAGACGCCTGCGTCTCGCCAAACGGACACGCCTTGGCAGTCTGGGCGCTGCCCGAGTCGGAGGCATCGGCAGGCTTCTGCTCCCTGCTGCCCCCTGCAGGGCACTGTGTCCTCGGGAGGTACACCGGGCCACGCTGATTCGCCGTGGGGGCCTCCAGCGCTGACCTCCTGGCACGGAGGAATCCCGGTCCATCGCGTGGCTGATCGGGAGCGTGTGCGCGTGAGTGTGTGTGCGCGTGCACATGTGCAAGTTCATTTGCACGGGGCATTTTGCTACTTTTGGCACGAGGACAGGCTGTAGCCCAAGGAGTAACAAGTCGAAAGTATGAC